GCAATCTCATGAGAACGGAGACGTCTAATACGATTACATTATATTGTCTTGACGATTTCTTTCTCTTTTTTTTTTGCTTATTGTCGACATTTACATATATAAAAAAAAGAAAATAGTAATAATAAATAATAATGATCTACTTTTCTATTCAGATTTTGTCCTTTAATATTCGAGCTAATTTATAGTCTATTAGATATATTTTTCTCATTTTCACGTTCACTTCTCTATTATAATCACCTTTCATATCCGGAGCTTTTATGTTTTTGATTAAATATGATTAAAAAAATATATATAAAAGAACAAAAACGAGCATGAATTATGCTAACCGTTACACATTCGAAGATAGCATGTCAAACTTTTTCTTGTATAATAATAAGATTTGAAAAAGAATTTTGGTTTCTTTTTTTTCTTCTTTCGTTCTTTATCTTTACCCCTTGAGTAAACAAATTAGATACATATTTTGAATGCAACTCTTCTAGTTTTTTTTTTGTTCTTGACAAATCAATATTTTCTACTCCTTTATTTTTCGATCTTTTCTTTTTTTCTTTTTTGTTTTGTTACCTTGAGATGAGCGGTAGAAGAAAGAAAGGCTTTTAATTGATCGAGTTTCGATGATATTTGTTTGAGAACTTCACTGAATAAATGACGATTCATCGATGTGACGACAAGAATAACCATGAACGATAGAGTCGTTGGCTGTATTGTTTGAATAGAAGAGAGAAAACAGGCAAAATTGTTCTCTCTTCTCGATTCTATTCTGATCGATTTTCTTCTTCTTTTTCTTTCACTGCTCTTTTCCTGCTCTCATCTTCACATAGCCTAGTACACAATGCATTTGATTTGAACTCTAGCGTATATTTAGTCGTTCTCGCATGTTTTCTACTATAATACACGGGAATGGGACGTTAAGCTGTTACTATAAGAAACAAGAGAAAAAAGCGAGCAGAAAAAAAAAAGAAAAAAAAAAGATAGAATTCGTCGACTTTAAAGCTACGGCAAGTGTATATGCCTGACAATGAATGTTCGTTTCTCTTATGTGAGTACATAAGAAGCAGATAGAGATTTGTGCTTGTTACATTTGCTCATTAGCACGATAGGAAAAGAAAGAAGATAATAATCATAATGGTAAAAGAAGAAAAGAAAAACGGAACTTGATGCTGTGACATGCAACATAAGAATTCATCTATTTTAATTTGACAAATAAAGAAGCATTCCATTAAAAAAGAAAGAATTAACAAAAACAAAGTCGTCAATTATATATGAATAATTACTATATCAATAAATACTTACAGCACGTAATGATACAAAGCTATCAGCAGAATTCATCACTTTTTCAATTTTTGTTTGTTCAAAAGATAATAAAAAGTTTTTGATCAAAATACAAATATAATAAAAAGAAAAAAAAACCAAAAAAAGAGAGAACTATATGAATCATCAATCTAGTATTTTATTAACTAATCAAACAAAGAATTTCAATCAATTTAATTATTAAAAGTATATTATTTTAATTATTATTTATATCTACTATAACAGTAGTCAAATATCATTCATTTATTTTTAGACAATTTGAAATCATTTTCCTACAGATGTCACTCTTGATCAGAACATATATATTTACATACAGTTCAAAAACGCATATACACAGGAAGTTTTTCGGAAATATAAACCTAAAAGAAATAATCTTTCCTGTTATTTGTATTTTTCTTTAACTATTATATTTTCTATAGATAGATCTTTGTTCGATTACATATTTTTGAAGATAATGAGCTTTTCAAAAATAAGTTACAATATATAGAAGCAAAACAAAAACAAAAACAAAAATAGAAATTCATTATTATTCTATTTCAAATAATAGTAGTTTTAATATCAAAGTAATAAAATTTACCTTTGCATCGTCAAGTATACGTATTTCATGTGTATCGAACTTTGGCCAGAAATAGGCAAACATTCAATTAGAATGATGCACCATTTCAAAAGAGAATATCATGTGTGTGATAATATGATGTTCAATTATCATTAGTATCATTGCAAAATTTTCATCGAATTCTAGACAAAATCTGACATCGTTCTAAAAGAATATTATAGATATATATATATATAGATGAAATAAAAGAATATAGTAGAAAAAAAATGAAATAAAATAGTACTAGTAGAAAAGAAAGAAGAAAAATAAATCTCATCTCGACGAACAAATCATTCACCTAAGAATTCTAGCGTCCGATCAATTTCAATACTTTCTCGATCTGAATCTAATAGAAAAAAAAAAGAGATAACAAATTTTCTTTCTATCGAAAAGAACGCCATAAGCGGTAGCAACAACGACAACAACAATAGCAATAGTAATAATAATAATAATAATAATAATCGTAATAATAACAAATGTGTGAGTAAGACTAACGCGTTCAACCATCTTTCCCACCCGCTTGATGTGATGACGAGTAGTTCGAAGAACTAATGAAAAAAAGAAAAATGAATAATCATACTACGTTTTTTGTTCTTCCCGCACTCTTCTTGCTCGTCTATATATGCGTGTTCATCAAACAGGGTGGGAGGGTCGACAGAGAGTTCCTATTGTCGGTAGTCGGATAGAAAAAAAGAGGCAGACATGCGCATTCTAACTATGGTTTAGGACGCGCATTCATTTTTAAAAAAAAAAGAAGAAGAATGAATGTAGTTGCACACATGAAAAAAAAAAGTAAATTACACAAAAATTTCTATATAATTATAATCATTATTTTATTTATTAGTTGTCTAAGTCAACGAACTTAGTTATTCATATTTACATGAAAGACTACATCTATTGTTTCAAATAAAACAATCGAGAAAACAGAACATATTTAGAAAAATGATTGATGTTTTCTTCATCTCTTTCTATCTTATCATATGGATTTATGTCAATAGTTTCACTGTGTGCTTATGTTCGATTTGATCGGGTTTTTGTGTGCATGTATGCTTATATTCAAGCATACACATGACACAATGATTCAATTAAAGGAAATTGAGTTATTCATCCGTTTCTCTTGCTTCATAGACCCATCTGTCAGTCTGTTGTCGATAGTGTCACTTGTTTGTTGAACTACAACATCAACAGGATCTTATCTCAAGTATACTTTCTCTCTTATGCCTCGATAAGTCAAAGACAGTCGTCTTTTTCTCTCTTCTTTTCCTTCACGAACTAGCTAGTCGTTTTTTGTTGTTATATTTTTTTCTTAAAAAAAAAAAAAAAAAGAAACATATATCTATTAGCTCATTTTGTATAAATAGTAAAGGATCGAAATTTTTCAATCTATTACATTGATTGTATGAGATCAATCAAAGCTCCATACCATTTATGTTTATGTTACAAATAATGTTAAGAGTAAAAAAAAATTGTTAGAAAAAAAAAACCAACAACAGCATACAAAAAAAGAAGAAAAGAAACGATGTTGATAAAAAACAAGCAACTTGTTATAGCAAATAAAGAATGACTTTCAAAAAAGAAAAGAAAAATGAGAAAAAAAAAATCTATATAAAGAATACAAATGACATTCTATTATGAGGACAAAATTACGCTTATTTGAGTACAGTCAATTGAGGCGAGAATTTAAAGAAAAAGAAAAATTCATGATTAGTTATAGATATACTGAGAATTTACATGAAATCCTTCAATTTTTTTTCTTTTGATTTTACTTAACTTGATATTAATCCTTCTCGCAGTTGAAGACCAACATATTAAAGATTAGTAATAATCATAAATAATAATGATTGCATTGAAGAACGTTCTATGTAAATATTTTTTTTCCCTTGTGAAAATTAATCGTAATTATTAAAAAGGTGAAAAAAGACCATCAAAGTTTTCTCGATTTCAAAAGATTCTACAAAATTTCTTCATATTTAATAGTTCTTTCTTTTTTTCTTTTCAATATTTCAATCAATAATTATTAATATCAATAGAGATCTATTGTCTTCAATAATTTCCGTATGATCTCTAAAGTATTGATCTATTCTTATATAATCATACATAAATTTTACTATATAGAAACCAAAAAAAAGTATTTGTTTCTTTATTTTCAATATCAAAGGCAATCAAATTCAAATATTATATAAATATCTAATAATACATTCTATTAAAAGATAATATATTTTACAATAACATTACTTTCAGTATTGAATCTGACTTTAATTATAATAAGATAAAGTTCTTATAATATAAAGTTCATATTACCATGGAAAAACAAATAAGTCAATGAAGATTAAGAAAAAAAAACTTCTTTGTATTTTTTGTTGTATAGAATAAATGACGTAAATATGTATTGTAATCTGACATTAATAAAAAAAACAAGGTGGGGGGGGGGGGGATTACCATTTGAAATTAATATAAATAGAAGGATCTGTATTTTATAATTAAATATAATTTAAAAGAAAAAATTAATTATATTTTATTTTTAAATTTAATTTTTTTTTACAAAAAGAAAAGAATTATCTTCTAGAATGACATTTATTTGAATAGTATTTAAAACCTTTTGTTGTTGCTATTTTATACATCGTCTAATTAGTTTGTTCTCGCCCCTTTCTAATAGATCGGAGGAGGAGGAGTTTTTATGTTTGCATAATGTGAATAGTAGTATCTCATTCTCTTTCACATTATGTTTTACTCCCAATCATCAAGTCGAGGTAAACTACATATACAAGCGGGTTTTTTTTTTCTTTTTCTTCTTTTGGTTGTTTACAAACGGATCTGATCATTGTCGTTGTCTTTATCATCGTGCTGTACGCTTCCTGTTCTTTTTACTAAACACATTGTCTTTTTCTTTCTTTCTCTCTCTCTCATTACATTAGAGCCGTAGAGAGATAGAGAGACAACAAATTTTTGTTACCTAGTTTTAATCCGACAAACCTTTTACTTCTCTCTCTCTCTCTCTCTCTTTCTACTTTGCTCAATCACACAATGAGCTTCTCTCTTTTTTTCGTTGTGTACATCATTACGTCAGTAGTAACTCTATAAGACTAAATTTATAACAATGCCTTATGGTGATGGTATTTTGGAATCACCAGCTGATCAATATGGAAAAACAACATTATGTATGCGTAATGCAAAACGTTTATTTAAATGTGCTGCTTATATGGTCTATTTTGTTGGTGTTTTGGTATTTGCTGTTGCAAGTAAAGGTTCATTTCTTCTTATGACACAAAGTTTAGGAAATCGATTACAAGTATGTATTTTTAATTCTTTAATAATATATAAAGAAGAATCTAGATTTGCTTATTATTATTATTAGGAAAAACAATATGCAAGTCGTTGGTCATTTATGTTAGTTGCTACAATATGTGTTCCATATGTATTTCTTTTTCTTGAAGCATTGGCAAAAAGTCTTTTTCGTAATCGACGTGGACCAGTTTTTACAGATTTAATAACAGTAATTGAAATTAAATTAAATTAAAAAACACTATGTATATTTTTTTTTTCTTTAGATATTTGTTCTTGAGAGTATTCATACATTTGGTGTTTGTTTACTCGTATTTCGTGTTTTACCAAGTTGTGATGTTATACGTGGTCTTTTATTAATGAATGCTGTTTGTACAATACCAGCATTTTGTAAATTAACATTATCAAAAAGTAATTCACGTCCAATGTTACGTTTTTTAACATTATTTATTGATTTGGCTGCATTTGTTGCTCAATGTTCAGTTTATTTTGTTGTAACAAGTACACAATATACAGCATTTTTAACAAAACCATCATTAACAACAACAACACAAGCAACAAATATTGGTGAATCATTATCATCAGATACATTTGATACATTAAATACAGCCATAAGTAATTCAATAAAAACAACAACAGATATAAATGAACATGTACAAATACGTTTTGGTTGGGAAGCACCTATTGCTTTATTTTGTGTATCGATTGTATGGTGGGAAAATTATGTTGATAGAGATATTAAATTAGGAAAATTAAATATACCATTAGGAACATATAAAAGACATTTACAATCAGTACGATCAAAAGCAAATATAGGTGCATCAATATGGAAAATAGCACTTACAGTTGCATTTAGTTTTCTTTTATTACCAAAAGAACGTTTTGAAAATGTATTTGTATCATTTAATAATAATCCATCAAATATTATATCTAATGAACCATCATTACATACAGGTTCAGAATTAAATAATTATGATGCTGGTTCATTATCAAATCAATTTGATATGAATAATAATAATAATGATTTACCTGTACGACATAAACGTCAAATGCCATTATTTCCTGTTGATGATAATAATACAGTAATGGGTAAAATAGGTGGTAATGCAGATCAAATGTCTTTATTTCCAGGTAATAATGATGATGATCCAGGTATAGCAGCTGATCCATTTGATTTTCAACCAGATAGAGTATGCAAAAAAAAAAATTTTATTTTATAAAATAATTTGATTTAATTTTTTTTGTTCTTGTTGTTTTAGGAAAAAACTATTGATGATTATTGGCATTCTATAGGACCATTTGTTCCTATGATAATACATTTTTTTTCTACAGGTCTTTGTTATTATTTTTCAAAATCAGCATGTAAAATGCAAATGCAACGTGTAGCATTTGCTGTACCATTAACATTAGCAACACCTGTTACATTAGCTATAATGATTGGTTTATGTCAATGGAAAACTGATCAAATTGTATTTATACGTGAAATAATGTATTGGGAATGTAGTGAAAATTTAAATACAACACGTATAACATGGCATATTATTATTGGTTTATGTCTATGGTATTTATCACAATTATGGATAACATCACATATATGGTTTCCAGAAAATAAACGTTTAGCTACAACTGAAACGTATAAAGATATAGAAAAAAAAAATAACAACAAATTTTTTTTTTTATGTTTTTTTGAATAGATTATTTGTTCTTCCACAATATGATAGTTCATTAATTGAACAATCACTTTTATTAAATCGACGTCGTAATGAACCAGAACATCAAAAAAATAAATTAGAAGAACATTTTGAAGATTTAGATATTATTGATGGAATGGCTGCATTTTGTAAGTGACTCATTTTTTTTACGTTTTATTTATTTTGACATCATAGATGACGTATGTCATAAGACTATTGTATGATAGAAAGATATTTACACATAATCTTCTTTACGTGTATGTGTGTGATCGTCTAATTTATAGAGGAAAAAAAGAAAGATGATGGCCTTTTTGATTGAATGTCTGGACAAATATTAAAACTATGATGAGAAAATATTACATAAAAAAGAAAAAGAATGGAATGTTTAAGTTCATGTTTTTTTTTGTCTTTTTGTTTTCTTATAATAGCTGAAGATGAAAAATTAGAAAATAATACAAAAATTTATTTATGTGGAACATTATGGCATGAAACTATTAGTGAAATGATTCTTATGCTTAAATCGATCATGAGGTAAAAGAGAAGAAGATTCTTTTTTCTTCATTCGAATAGAAAATGTAAACATTTGGGTTTGTGTTGTTTTTTTTTTTTATTTGATAGAATGGATATTGATCAAAGTGCAAGAAGACAAGCAAGAGATGAATTTCAAGTTATTGATCCAGATTATTATGATATGGAAGGTGTGTAAATTATTTAAAAGAAAATAAAATATTTTGTATTTAAATGAAAAATTTGTACAGAGCTATGATATCATGTAGATCCATATGGGTTTTCACTGTCCTAAAAAGAGTTCGGACCCATAGCTTAATGCTGCATAGGTATCGCCAATATCCGATAGCTTTTAAAATAAATACTGTGGCTTCCTCAGAAACACCAGGAAAACTGACTTTTGAATTTCGACTTGAAACTTTCCATAAGATTTGAGCTCATTGAGAATAGCTTATTGAAAAAGTTTTAAATATTTTCTTTGTTCCTAGGATACAGTTATAATAAAAGCTTGTCTTTTACACTGCTCACACACACACACACACACACACACCTTAGTAGATCTGATGTTCTTATTTCAGAAAAGGAGCAAATCAAAAGGTTGGAAATTTTCATCCAAAACTATTCTGACTAAGATCTGTTTCTATGCAAATTTACAAGCCAAAATTCGAGAATCAATTTTCCTGATGTTTTTGAGGAGAATTCTGGCATTCATTTTAAAAACTAACGTTAAAGTACAGTATCGCGACAACAATAAGTTAAGAATCTAAACTGTTTTCAAAGTATTCATAGCTCATTCGATTCTACATAATGCACGTAGTCTCGACTCATCAGTTGAAGGACTTTTCTCGTTAGACTCATTTGATAATGAAAAGATTTTTATCACAATAAGAAAAGTCTGAAAGATTTTAGATCTAACATCGACTTCTACCAAAATCTACCATTATACATTTCCGTTATATTCTTTATCATTGTCCTTCATTCAGCGTACTATAATCAAACCAAACTAAGATGACAATATTCAGTTCTATCTCCTTCAAATAAGTAATAAAAATTAATTAAAAATAATTTCGTTCTCTTAATCAAACAATATTCAATAGCTGAGAATGTTCTATTATAAATATGTTCTGAAAGCATGTTGTACAATCTGCTTCGAGGATTTTTCTTCCTTGTCTTATAAGTAGAGCTCATTGGATCCAAAATTTTTGATCCGGAACTCTGTCGATTAAACTAGTTCGTATCTGAACCTGAACTGTACTCATAATTTCAACGAAATTTTTTAGTCTAAGCATGATAGTCACTCCGAAGATGTTAGATACTTTTTATCGATTATTTGTATTCTACTACGGACACATTCTATATATTTCTCCGACTGTCTTGACAATGATCTTATAGTAATGAAGTCATTATTAACTGTTACGTTTAGACTATGAACTACTGTTGAGATAGCTCCAGATTTGAGACAAACTCTACGTATAAGAAAATTTCATTTGTTAAATTCTTAATTGATTATATTCTCTAATAATGATTTAATTCTTATCTTTTATTAGCTCATGTCTTTTTTGATGATGCATTTTATCATGATGAAAATCAACAACGTACATTAAATATGTTTGTTAAAGATTTTTTCGAAGCTATTAATAAAGCTGCTGGGTAAATCGATATAAATATATATATATATATATTTTTTTTTTAAATGAAAATATTAATATAAAAATTTTAAAATATCTTTAGAATTGTTCATGATGTTGAAGGTATGAAATTAGCACCACCACAAAAAACAGCAACACCTTATGGTGGTCGTTTATCATGGCGATTACCAGGTGGAAATTTACTTGTTGTTCATCTTAAAGATAAACTTAAAGTTAGTAAGAAAAAACGATGGAGTATGGTAAGTTTTAAAATATATTGACATTAATTTGATATACAAAAAAAAAAGTTATGTTAAGGTTATGTATATGTATTATTTACTTGGTTATCGTATTCTTGGTCAATGTGAACAACGAATGAAATCATTAATAAAATTAATTGAAGATTCACCAGATAAAAGAAATTATCGTCGACATTTTGATCAAAATGAAGATTTACATGTTTATTATAAAGATATTCTTGGACCACGTTTATTACTTGAAGTATATTTCGAGGGGAAAAAAACTAAAATCTAAATTATTCTCTATTTTGTTTTTAATATAGGCTGAAAATACATTTATTTTATCTGTTGATGGTGATGTTGATTTTGGTCCTGATTCAGTTCGAATGTTAATTGATCGAATGAAAAAAGATAAAAAAGTTGGAGCAGTTAGTAGTCGAATTCATCCTATCGGTAGTGGTCCATTAATATGGTATCAGGTAATTTTCTATCTGTATCCCTTAACTCATTGTTAATGTCTTCACTTCGAAACTTCATTGCTGTTTTACGGGCCACCTCAACTCCATCCATAGAAAATTATCCAAAAAATTGATACTTTTGTTTTATTTAAGCTATTCATTTATGTACTATAAGCCTCTAAGTATTCTTTTTTTTTTATAAAGATTTATGCATCATTTTTCATAAACACAATATAAAGACATAAAATATCGTAAATAAGATTGTCTGGAATTGTTTGCATAACAGCATTGAAGTGTACGATCAAAAAATTCACACGAATCGAACAAACCGACAAAACCGATGTAATGTGATTTTGATCTAGAAGACAATCATAAACGTCATACTGTGAATTATTACTATTAATGAGGAATTTACAAATGAATCTATTTGGAAAAAACGATCTGGACACAATAGACAGCAGCTTTAACAAGATGAAAAATTATGCCTATAACACCATGGATGTTCTAGAGTTCACGTAGACTCACAGCTGCTTAGATCTATTCCTGATTTCTGATAAGAATATTATGCACCTACTAAAGACTAGAGTACTAGACGAAAAACTGTAAAATGGGTCGATCTGAACCTAACGAAAGGTTCAAAATAAAATATAATATTTTTTTTTGAATAGAAAATGGAATATGCTATGTGTTATTGGTTACAAAAAACAACTGAACATAGTCTTGGTTGTGTTTTATGTGCACCGGGTTGTTTTGCATTATATCGTGCATCAGCTTTAATGGATGATAATGTTATGAAAGTATTTGCATCACGTTGTGAATCACCTGAAGATTATCTTCTACGAGATTTAGGTGAAGATCGTTTTTTAAGTAAATTATTAATTGAACAAGGTTATAGAATTGAATATTGTGCTGCAGCTGATGCATATACACATGCACCAGAAACATTTACAGATTTTTTTAATCAACGTCGTCGATGGATACCATCAACACTTGGTATAACTGTATCAATACTTAAAAATTATCGTCGTACAATACGTATTAATGAAAGTGTTTCATTTTTAGCTGTACTTTATCATGTTTTTTATCTTGCTTTATATATATTAAGTCCAGCAACAATAACAATAGCAATAGCTGATGCATTTAATGCTACAACTGATATTGATGTATGGGCTGCATATACACTTGCTTGTTTTCCTGCTATTGCATTTTTAATGATTTGTTATCATGATATAACAGAAGAAAAAAAAATTATTTGTGCAGCTATATTTGGTACATATTATGCTATTGTTATGATGATTGTTGTTGTTGGAACAATTGTAAGAATGGTTGATGGTTCATGGAAAACAACAGCAGTCTTTTTTCTTCTTTTTATGGGAATTATTTTCTTTTTTACAGCTATTTGTCATCCATATGAATTAAGTAAGTATGAAATGAGAAAGAATTTTTTTTTTCCAATATATATATTTCTTGGAGAAAATTATTTGAATATTTTGTATTAATTATTGTCAATGGATTAAGTTTGTTTCTTTCTTTTTTTGCTTGTGAAGGATATTGATTTGAGATCAAGTAGAGATAAATTAACTAAATCAAAAGAAAAAAAGAGAAAAGAAGAAATATTTATTATCTATTGTGCGAGAGAACCTTTTCGAGTATTAAAATACTTTTGAGCTGAAAATTTGACCATAAGTAGGAGATGTATAGACTAGAGAAAGTCTAAGAGGATATGGACGCAAATTGTGATTTAGCTGAGATACTGACATCTGACTATAATTTTCCTGCAAGACTACACTTTTCGGGTAGAATCAAAGTGTCATAATTTTTAGACAAGTTACCTTCAATAAACCAGTATATTAGCGTAATAAGGTTTTTTTATGGATATTTTGGAAAATTCATATTTCGGAGGTGATTGGTCTAAAAATTCGGAAATTTTGTAAGCAAGCTCATCTAGATTGAAACCTCAGTGTGGGCGAAGTTTCAGATCAAAATTCGAATCTTTGATTCTACCGCAAAAGTGGAGTCGTGCAAGAAAATTATAGCATAATGTTGGTATCTCAGCTAAAGTATAACTTGTACCCATATTCTTTTAGGCTTTCAATTAAAGAACTTTCTAACACCTGAGAAAGTCCCCTCGTTAGTGTAAGAGCTACAGGAGAATTGAGCCTCGTAAAAATTTTAAAGTTGTTGCTAACGGTGATCCAACCGGAGGTCTGCGAGGGGCTCAGTCTCCCATTCCTGACCTCTCAGCTTGTGAAAATTTATTACACAAATTGAATATGTATATTCTAATAACTAGAAAGAAAATACTAAATTGTGGTGATAGAGGACATATTTTCTTTGAATAGATCAGCACTTATACATCTCGTTTGTTTGTCAAATGTAGATTCTCATATTTGTTTATTTATTTAATACAAGATCAATATTTCATAGATTATTTAAGATATAATTTTCTTTTTAAAACTTTTTCGTTCATGAAAAAATCAATCAATAACGCTTAAAAATAAATACAAACTCATATTCATTTGATTATATTTAATTATTCAAAAAAATCTAATATCAATAAAAATAAATCTCTATATTGAAAAATTTATTTTTAGACTGTGTTCAACCATGTTTACTTTTTTTTCTTTGTGTTCCAACATCCTATGTTTTACTTGTTATATATGCATTAACAAATTTAAATGCAAATGCATGGGGTACACGTGAAGATATATTTATACCAAATCGTAAAAAAAAACAAAAATTTAAAAGTCAAGCTGAATGTTTACAATTTCTTGAACAACAATTTTCAAATGCTAAAAATTCAAATGAATTATTAGCTGTTGTTGAAAATTTAATTGATGAATGTCATTCACAACGTACAGAATCAAGTGATCAATTATTAGCACAAATAACAGCTGTACTTAATCGTATAAATATGTTTGATGATCTTGATAAACGTTTAAATAAAGGTTTAGATTTACATGGTCTTGGTTTAGAAGAACTTGTTGAAGAACAAGAAAAAAAAGATCCAAATCAAAATATAAATCATGAACAAAAACGTACAGAACAATTAATTAATAAATATGATGATCGTATAAATCCATATTGGTTCGATCATCAATTAGTTAAATATGCTGATATTAAATATTTAAATGAAAATGAATTTATTTTTTGGAGACGTTTAATACAAAGATATTTAAAACCAATACATATGGATGCATTAGAAAAACAAAAATTACAATTAGGTTTAAATGATTTACGTGATCAAGGTGTATTTGCTTTTTTTATGCTTGATGCATTATGGATAGCATTTGTTTTTTCTGTTTTACTTGCACAAAATCGTTTAAAAGATATGTTATTTATACCTGTACCTATACCAAGTTCATATAATGATCATGCTATGATTGAACCATTAGGTGTTATGTTAATATTTTTTTTTGGTATTATATGTTTAATACAATTTATAGCTATGCTTTGTCATCGTTATAATACATTTCAACATATATTAGCATCAACAAAACTTCGTTCAAGTAAATTTGAAGGTGTTAGAATTGAAGATATTATGGATATTGTTAAAATGCTTCAACAAATCAAAGTAAAAAAAATAAAAATAAATCAATAAGAAAAATAATTTTTGAAATTTTTTTTTTTTAGCCAATCGATGAAGAAAATGAACCATTACCAGATTATAGTGATGGTGAAATGGACAAAAATGATAATCCACATAATGGAATGAAAGGTGGTGATGATGATGATCGATCACAAGGTGGATCAGGTGATGATGATGTTTTTATTCAAGCAGCTGCTATTGCTGGTGAAATGAATAATGAACCGGGTGTAGGAAAATATCATATTGTCGATGAAAATGGGCCAGTTAGTGTAAGGAATATACATTTTTTTTTAAATTAAATTTATATAAAAATAATAGAGAAATATTTCAATAGTCATTTCAATATCGAATGTATGAAATAGATATGAGCAAGATCGAACCGAGACAAAAATTTTTTTTCGGCATAGATCGCAACTGAATTTTGTTTTTGATCGACATTTTTTTCATTAGGAATGATATCTGTTATGGCCGTATAAAACTTGTATCGAATGTCAGATTATCACAACTCATATGTTCAAAATAGATATGGACAAGATAGTTCCGGTTGCATTAGGATCGAGACCAAAAACGACTGATTCTGAAAACGTGTCCAGTATAAACTGAGAAATAGTTCTACATATGTTCTCATTCAATCGAAATGTTTCTGTATCTTATCAAAAGAAAAACAAATGAAAAATTTTGAATAAATCGAACGAAGAAAAAAATGAAGTCTTCATAATACTTTCAAATTTTTTAAACAAAATTGTTTTAATATCTTTCCAAAAGACTCATCACATATTGAATAAATCGTTTTGTTTTAATCAATATGATTTTGTTTTTCTTTTCATTCAAGCGAAAGCAATTATAATGTTATCGAAAATCAGATGTAAATATGATTGACTTGTTGTTTAATAATATTTAAATACAAAATAAATTTATTCCTTTTTCTTTTTTTTTTTTTTATATATTTTAGCGAAAACTTCGTCATAGAATAAGTCGCCGTAATCCTGGTAAACCTTCTGATGATCGTCATCATCGTAAAGGTGTCGATAATCCATCATTTCAACATGAGGATTCTCAACATGGAATTGAACGTATAACATCACCAAAACGAAATCGAAAAATACGATCAAGTATATTATTTTTTCATTGTTTTTTTTTTTATTTTTTGTTAAATCTAATATTTTTTGTTTGTGTTAATATTAGGTGCAAGTCCATCAAAAAAATCTCGTAATGTAAAACCTCGTACACATAGTGAAAATCGTCATTTAAATTCTCATATACGTTCACCACAACAACAAGATACATCAATTTTAACAACAACTCAAGCTGGAGCTTCAGCTGTTTATCCATTACCATCACGTCATCAACGTCGTACACATTATAATAAAAAATTACAAAAGAAAAATTCTCTTGATGCTAATTTTCGTCGTCGTGTTGAAAAATTAAAAGAAGCTACAAGTTCAACGGAACTTGATATGAAATTACTTGATAAAAAAATGACAAAAGTTCTTTTTAATATGCATGGTGTTCCAGTTGGACCAAATGTTTTATAAAAAAAACAAAAGTACAAACAAAAATAAAACAGAACCCTAAACAAACAAACAGACAAATTGTTCGCTATCATCATTTTGCTATTTAATTGATCGCGTGTGAATGTGTCACATTAAATTAATACATGTTCAGTACACATCGTCAAGGTTTATGTGATCATATGACAATCGAACTAACTCTTTTGTGAGCACACGAACGACATTCTTCTTTTTTTTTTTTGGTTAAATGATGGTTTTGCGTACATATACATATATGTATATATGATTTTAATTTGTTTTGAATGAGAGAAGACGACCCTTTTAAATAAATAAAATATATCTTGAATCAATCTATCAGAAAAACAAAACAAAAAAATAAATAAAGAAATAAAGAATTCTCTTTTATAATTATTTGCATGATTAATAAATTTAGTTTTGATCATCATATCGGAATCTTTTGTGAGTTTTAATCTGTCGACTAGGCCAATTCTCAACACCTGTCTACTCAAGAAAAGCCGATTGAACTTAGAACGTGTATGTGTGTGTGTGTGTGTGTGTATGTGCACTCAGTCAATAGTAAGCTTTCAACTGTTACTAATCTTCTATGTTGATGTGTATTTTGAACAATACAATACCAAAGGATAATAGACTAGCAACAAAAAATGTATATATATATATACATATATATATTCCTGCTTGAGGCATCATTTAGTGTTTTGAAGTACAATAACATTAAATTCTTTTAGTCTATTTCAAAAGAAAAATTATTATGATTCTTTTTAATACAAATCATCTATTTAAAAATAAAATGTTCTCAACATATTAGACCATATGTTTTAATCTTTAAAAAGAAGACAAACATATCCCCTCAGGTACCGATCATGTTGCTGATGATGTCACATTTGTTTTCTATTGTCGTCGATGTTAAACATTGATTTAATTAGCTTTTTTTTTTCTAAATTATACATATATATTATCCACACTTGAAAATATCCGTCGATTAAACAATATTTTAAGTTGTTGTTTTGTTTTCATACATACTCCCATATTAGTTCCAAATATTTGAAGTTCGAATATTTGAATATACATATTCATATGAATATGTCACGTCTTATTCACTTGATAGACTCGAATGAAAAAGAACTAAACTGTACATTAGACGCGCCATGCTATAATAGCTTAATTTGTTCACATCGTCGGAGTGCCGCCAAATGGTAGAGAAATTCCCTATGCCATTTATTTCAATAAGAGAGAAAAAATGTGTCTAAGAGGAGAGTATATTCACATACATATATATGCATATATAATCATTCGATTGAAAGTAATCTAAGGAAAAAAAAAAAAGGTTCAGGTATGTCTATATTATAATTAACTTTTTATTGAATTTATGAAAGCCGAGAAAGTTTCATTCGATTGAATTTTGATATTTGAAATAAGAAAATATATATATTGTATATATACATATTAAATTATATTCATCAAATTTAACTAAGGTTTCATTAGAGAAATTCGTTTCAAATATGTACATACATACATATTTTTTTTCTTAAAAGTTCAATCTATATTGTCTTTTAAACAAGTTCTAAGGTTTCATTTTAGTCATCGTTCAAAATTAATTTGTACAAATAAGACTTCATATGAGTCGTGCTTATCCATATATGATCTTTTTCTTTTACTTGTTAAAATAATTTTGTATGTATAATATGTTGACATACATAGAAAGTTCAATTATATTGAATTCTTTTCATAGAATGACTTTCACTTGTATGATAGAATTATTCTGATGACAATGCCGGCATCATCTTAGACATTCTCAATTCAAATTTTTTATTCATAATGTTGAAAATTCATAAATGTACAAAAAAAAAAAGAGAGAGAGAGATTGAATTCGAAATCACGTTCGTTAAACAATGCATTCAAGTTTTTCTTTTTCTTTTTTTTGTTTTGTTTTGTTTTGTTTCTATTCTCTCTGTATGTGAGGATCTAATAATTGTTCATAATCAAAAGATCTCACTTTCTTTTCATGCAGTCAATTGACTCTTTCCGCATTATTTCAAAGAATGAATATGAGAAAAAAAAGAACAGTAGGGGTGCTATATAGATTTTTTTCTTCTTCTTCTTCTTCTCCTCTTTCTCTCTCGCTTTTACATACAATTTAATCAACTATACATGAAGTTCATTGTCAAACAAGAAGTACTTATGAATTTTCTTTATACTATTCTTATTTAGATGAAAAATTACTTCCGTTTATCATACTTAAACTGAAGAAAACAATAGACAAAAAAAAAGGAAGACAAAAGGAAAATAGAAACATAATAATCGACATCTGATTAGAATGTTGGCCTTCTTACGTCAAGATGCCTCGAGGCATCTTCTGTTAAAACAATTGTATATATGTGTGTGTGTGTTTGAACATATACACATACCATATACACATTATCTATGTGATGCCTTGCAGCCGTGTCCTTCTATCATAGTCTATCTCTTATCAGCTTCAGTCGGCACATTCAGGAACTAAAAAAAAAAAAACGTAATGAAATCTTCAAGGTGCAAATGAATGCTGTGTGTGTGAAATAACAATGCCTTTTTTTTCTTCTTTTTACTTTATGTTGTCTATGGAATGTATTAGATGGCGGCGTCGGCGGTATTGATATATATGAAATTTGAAGAAACTGAGTGAGTATAGTACTATAGTTTTCATCATTAGACATTTTCTTTTCCTTCTTCTAAGATGAAATCTAATACAGTTAGCGAAAAAAAAAAAAAAAAGACTTCGTGCGTGTTCAACATTGTGTAATACAATCGTTATTATTCCACATTTTTTCCTTTCTAATGAGAAGATGACCGCTAGACTAAGATTGCCTAAATTAGACTGACTACCGGTAATTAACGATAACGTGCATGTAGAGAAAAAAAAGGGAAATCACGTCTGACATTGTATACATATGTGTGTGTATATATATATATAGATGCATATATGCGTGTGTGTTCTGTTAAAACAATCACCGTTCATAGGACATAAATCATTGTTGAGACAGAAAGAAGACTAAGCGAGATTGAGATGGTCATTGCAGTCACGTACTAAACATGCGATTCATTTATTTCAATAAACTTTAATATAGTTTTCTTTTGATTGTTAGTGGAACAAATGGACAATCTCGTTCTTTTTTTCTTTTTGTCTGTAGAAGAAAACTGACACAAAAAGGTATATCCTCTTCGTATTCTTTTCTTTTTTTTTTTCTTCTATTCTCTCTCTGTACTCTCTTCGTATTCTCTCTACTCAATGGTCATCATTGGTAGTTGTCCAACATAACGAAGAAGAAGAAGAAGAAGAAGAAAAAAGGTTCCGTGTAAAAACATTTGCTAACTATACATACATACATACATACATATACATTGAAAGAGAAAGTATGTATATGTACACATGTATTGTCCACTTTGTGTGAAGGTGAAATGACATTAACAAGAACTATTTGAAGTTATATTGTAATTGATACTTTAGATGTTAGTTTGCTTGATTTTTTTTTTGTTTTTTGTAGATGTATTTCTTTTTTATATTATTCATTTTTTTAAATTTATTAATATTTATTCAAACAATACAAATTCAACGAATAAAAGTACGTGAAAATGTTAATGTAACAATGACATGTCGTTTTAATACAAAAGAAAATTTATTAACAACAAATTCTTTATCATCTATAGCAAAATTATCATCATTTAATAAAATATTTGATAATAATTATTCCGATAATATTATACTTTGGTATAAAGATGATATACATGTTATTGGTGTTAATTCGATATCAAATGATCCACAAAAATATTTAATTCATCAAGAAAATTTTTATACATATCAATTAATTATACTTAATGTACAATTAGAATCATCAGGCATATATAAATGTCAAAATTTTACAGCTAAAGAAGAGAATCTTTTTCAATTAAATGTTATGGGTATGTTTAGAAAGTTATATGATATAGTTAGACCACCCAAAAAAATAAATATATATGTATAAGAATAGCTGAATGTTTAGTATCGAAGATTAATCTTCTTTTGACTCAACAATCTATGTGTCTGTTATTATTAGAATATGTCAAGCAAACGATTGGCAGTAGTATAACCGATATGTTAATTCTTGCATCATATCTGACAACATCCAAATATCGAGATATCAGCATGAATAGTATGATAGAAGAAACAAGCAAGAAAAAAAAAAAAGACTACTGTTTTCACGCTTCCATTACAACATACATATAAAGCAGCTGTACAAAAGTTCCGGAAAATCAATCTTTTCCTTTTTTTTTTTTATATTATCAGTGATAGACAAATCGAGAATGAATCTTTTTCTCAGCTTGAGATGTATGTTGACATTTTTTTGACTCAGTAATTATTCTGATAGATGATGTAATAGTCTTTAAAAGAAAAGGACGACAAAAAAAAAAAAAAAAAAAAAAAAGAACGAGATATTATATGTACTATTAGTTTGAAGATGAACGACTCGTGCGTGAGAATTAAGAATATAATTACCAACTATTATTTCATCCGCATGACAGAATTTTTTTTACTTAAAGTTCATGTTCATTGAGCTACATGTATTCTAGTCAAGAGCCAATCGAGAGATCAAGGCAAGCATCTGCTACTCACGAGTACTTCTTTCGACGAACGGCAATGAATAAGGATGTCAATGAAGTTAATCATCAATCATTTTCTATTGAGAACAAAAACTCGTTAATTTGGTGAATATGCACACATATACATGTTTAATAGAAGATGATGATTCTTTACTTTCTCATCAATGAAAAGGTTACAAGAATAAAAATTCTCTATAGTAGGAAAAAAAAAAAGGAAAAGTAAAAAACAACAACAAGAACAGTCGTACAATCAATTATGATAGACACAAACCATGTCTGTTCAATATAGAATAAATGAAAGGATGACAAAAAAATAATCAATTTTCTTCTTTCTTCTGTAAATCAGATAAATAGAAAGATTAGGGGTTATTCTCTGTTCCATATCTGATAAA